AGTCGTAGAGTATATGTGTGGCTCTTGCTGTGGCTGGACAAGGCCAGCATGATGGTCGTTGCCTTCTCGAACGCGCAGGCACTGAACATCATCACGTTTTGCAACGCCTGTGCCATGTGAGTCCAAAAGTAAATCAACGCGAAGGTGGGGCCGGGGGGCATGCAGAAGAGGTTGAAGTGGTTGTGGGGGCACGTCCGCGTGCTTGCCACCGAGGAGACAAGCATGGTGGCGGCCGCGCTGTGCAGTGCGCTGGACCTTCGCGCGCGCCACGCACACAGCGACGCGCGCGACGTGCAGGAGTTCACCAGCCGGCGGCCGCGCCACCATTGTTGGCGCGTCTCCATTGTGCACTTCGGCGAGTTCCTGCAGCCGACCGGCAGCGTCGACCCCCTGACGGACGCGAACAGACTCTTAGACGACGGGTATAGCGCAAGTACGCGGAACCGCCGACGGTGGAGCTGCAGCACGCCATCAAGGTCTCCCCTCAGATCCCTTGCGTCTTCGAGCTGAAGGGGGCGAAGCGCTTCGAGCCCGGGGCCCTCTGATCACGGTCTTGGGCTGCATGCGCGAGAAAAAAGCCTTCCCATCAGGGGTCCGGTCCGCTTGGGAAAAGACGTTCGCCCCGGAGAACCGCGGCGTCCTGGGCCTTCGGCGCCAGCGCGAAAACTTGCGGCTCGGCTCCAGCATGGGCGCATACTGGGAGGCGCTGGCGAGGTGGATCAACGCGCGCGCTCGCCGCGACGCGCGGCGTCTGGGCACGCCCTTCGTTTCCTTGCGGGCCGTGGGCGAGTGCGACGCGATTCGCGGCGATCCCGACGCGGCCCAGCGTCTGCTGCACGTCCCGAAGACGCGCGCGATGACATCCACGGCTTCTCACCGGCCCGCGTCGGCGCGGAGGCGCGGTTCGCGGCGGCGCAGGGAGAGCCGAAGGAAGAGTTTGGGCTCGCGCAGGAGCAACGGGCCACCATCGCGTCTTTCGACTTTCACCCCGAGGACCGGCAGCGGCAAGAGGAGCGCCCGCCAGGCCACTTCTTTCGCCCCCGCTTCCTGCCGCAGGGAATCTGGCTGCAGGCGCGCGGCTTCAACCAGACTCCGATCGACCGGGAGGTCGCCGAAGTGTTGCGACAGGGCGCCGAGAGCGCCGACGACGACGGCCGGGCCGCGGCGCGGGCGCGGAGCTCGCAGATGCGCAGGCCCACCCAGCAGGAGCTCACGCAGCAGAGCTCGGGGCCGCGCGCCGCTCGGGGTTCGCCATGGCGGGCGCGCCCCACCTCGCCTCCGCGCTGCCTCAGGGCCAGACGCTGCGCAAGGGCGCCCTCGTCGACTGCGCGAGGGGCGAGGGCGCTGGCCGCGCGGGCATGTCGGACGACCGGCGGCATGTCCCCCCTCGCCGCGCGCGTGCGGAACGCGCTGACCCTGCGGCCGCCGCCGCGAGAGTTCCTGGAGCGAGGGCCGCAGGCGCCCTTGCGGAAGGCGCTCTTGGAGTTCGACAAGGGAAGAGGGAGCTCCAGGGCAGAGGCGGAGCAGCTCGCGGCAGAGTTGGGCTTCGCGCCGCCTCCCGCTCGAGCGCGGCTGCGCCCCGCTCGAAGCCCGCGGGGCTGCCCCGACGGCTTGGCCGCGCGCGCGCCAGTTGATCGCGGGATTGCCCCGACGGCCGAGCCCGCGCGCTGGCCGAGGCGGCGACGGCTCCGAGGAAAATCGACATGCGCGCCCATGCAATAGAAAGAGGAAGAGGTGGCGGGGCGTGCCGAATTACCCTGGCGACGTACCCAACCCCTGCGCCATGTGGGGCATGAGTAGCTTGGGCGACTTCATAGGGGGGTGATGACGAGACATGGACGCATGTATTTCTGTGACCAGCATTCGGGATGTCCCATTTGAGTCCGCCGCGGGGCCCCGCTAAGCTGGCCCCCCAAGCAGGCCTCGAAAGTGGCGACAGGTTCTCAGATCGCAGCCCCCCAGGGATGGCGAGGTCGATTTTGACTATGCGCAGGACGTAACTGTGCTGGACCCCCCAGCAGGCCTCGAAAGTGGCGTCAGTTTCGCAGATCGCAGCCCCCCAGGGACGGCGAGGTTTAATTTGAATCCGCGTAGGACGTCAGTTTGCTGGACCCCCCAGCAGGCCTCGAAAGTGGCGACAGTTTCACAGATCGCAGCCCCCCAGGGATGGCGAGGTCTACTTTGAATCTGCGTAGGACGTCACTGGTGCTGCACCCCACAGCAGGCCTCGAAAGTGGCGGCAGTTTCACAGATATCAGCCCCCCAAGGATGGCGAAGTCCCATTTGAATCTGCGTAGGACGTCACTGTGCTGGACCCCGCCCCCAGGGACGGCGAGGTTTAATTTGAATCCGCGTAGGACGTCATTAAGCTGGACCCCCCAGCAGGCCTTCGCAGCCCCCCAGGGACGGCGAGGTTTAATTTGAATCTGCGTAGGACGTCACTGTGCTGGACCCCCCAGCAGCCTCCGAAAGTGGCGATAGTTTCGCACATCACAGCCCCCCAGGGACGGCGAGGTGTAGTTTGAATCTGCTTCGGTCTCTACTGTGCTGGACCCCCCAGCGGCCTTCGAACATGGTGACAGTTTGACAGATCGCAGCCGTCCAGGGACGGCGAGGTTTATTTCGAATCTGCGTAGAACGTCACGGTGCTGGAACCACCAGCAGGACTTCAAAGCGGCGACAGATTGGAAGTTCACAGTTCCCCAGGGACGGCGAGGTGCCATCTGGATTTGCGTGGGACGTCACTGTGCTGGACGACCCCCCAGTAGGCCTCGAAAGTGGCGACAGTTTCACATATCGGAGCACCCCCAAGGATGGCGAGGTTTGATTTGAATCTGCGTGGGACGTCAGTTTGCTGGACCCCCCAGCAGGCCTCGAAAGTGGCGTCAGTTTCGCAGATCGCAGCCCCCAAGGATGGCGAGGTTTAAATTGAATCTGCGTGGGGCGTCAGTTTGCTGGACCCCCAGCAGGCCTCGAAAGTGGCGCCAGTTTCGCAGATCGCAGCCCCCCAAGGACGGCGAGGTTTAATTTGAATCTGCGTAGGACGTCACTGTGCTGGACTCCCCAGCAGGCCTTCAACGTGGCGTCAGTTTCACAGATCGCAACCCCCCACGGATGGCGAGGTCCAGGGATGGCGAGGTTCCATTTGAATCTGCGTAGGACGCTACTGTGCTGGACCCCCCAGCAGGGTTTCAAAGTGGCGACAGTTTCGAAGATCGCAGCCCCCCACGGATGGCGACGTCTACTTTGAATCTGCGTGGGACGTCATTGTGCTGGACTTCCCCGCAGGCCTCGAAAATGACGACAGTTTCACATATCGCAGCCCCCCAGGGATGGCGAAAACCCATTTGAATATGCGTAGGACGTCACTGTGGTGGACCCCCCCGCAAGCCTCGAAAGTGGCCACAGGTTCATTGATCACAGCCCCCCAGGGACGGCGAGGTCTACTTTGAATTTGCGTAGGACGCCACTGTGCTGGAACCACCAACAGGACTTCAAAGTGGCGACAGATTCAAAGATCACAGTTCCCGAGGGATGGCGAGGTGCCATCTGGATCTGCGTAGGACGTCACTGCGCTGGACCCCCCAGCAGTCTTCGAAAGTGGCGACAGTCTCACATATCGCAGCCACCTGCTGGCAAGACAGGAGGAGGCAGGAGGGAGGCGGGAAGGAGAGAAGGAAGGACGGAGACCACAGTGCACTACTCAAAACGAATATCCAACCAAGGAAGGTTGGGAACAAGAGGGCGAGGAGGGAAAAACGTAGGGAGCGGGAGGAGGGCTGGCGCCAGGGCGAAGAGGACACTGACGCAGAGGAGACAGCAAGGGCGCCTCACTAATCGCGAGGACGACGGTGAGGGCAATTTCCAAATTAGCCGAGTGGATTATCATGTTGGGTCCTACTGTCGGAGTAGTTTGTTTTTCTGGGCATGGACTTGTTGATCAGGTTCGCAATCTATGATCGGATTTGGCCAATCACGCGACAGAAAAGAGAATTCACACAAAACTGGGATATAGAAAATAACCGACAAGTTAAAAGGATACACGAACATTTAATACCATAATCACGCGGCACGCAAAACAAACTTGACATCAGAGACAAGCCAAGGACACCACATCGTTCAATATAATCACGCCTCATTTTCATTGGGGGGGGGCGAGTGAGAGCGAGAGGGAGGGACAACCTAGGAACGCTCGCGCCGCATCTGACATCCTATCCCTCTCCCAATCCCTTCCCATTGCGCTGAATGTTTCTCTGTCCGCGGACGCGTGTCACAGCAGACCTGGGACCCTGGGACCCCATCACTCCAGCAAAGCACTCTGATAGCAGCAGGGGTGGCCTGTGTGGCAGGTGTGAACTGTGGGACTCGGGCGATCTGTGGGACCTGTAATTTCAGTGGGACTTTTGTGGCCTGTGGGCCTTGAGGAGCAGGTGGGAACTCTGGACCCGCGAGGCCTGCGGAACCTGTGAGACCTCTGCGTCCTGGGGGACTATTGTGGTTTGTGAATATTGTGAAATCTGCGGGGCCCGTGGTCCCTGTGGAAATTGTGGGTCCCGCGAGACCTGCGAGACTTGTGGGACTGGCGGGGCCGGCGGGACATGTGGCACTTGTGGGACCTAGGGGATTTCTGTGGGTCCTGCGAGACTTGTGGGGCCTATGGGACCAGACTAGCAGGACCCGCGGGACCTGTGGGACCTGGGGGACTTCCGTGGGAACCGTGAAACTTACGACGCCCGTGGGACCCGTGGGACTTGTTTGTCCCCTTCGGCCCGCCTGCTTCTCCTGCTCCTCCTGCTCCTCCTGCCCCCCACACCCCACCGCTGTTGCCATGCTGCTCTTCGGGCCGTCCTGCATCTGTCTCCGTTTCCTCTCCTTTTGCTTCGTCGTCGTCGTGATCGCCGCCGCCGTCGTCGTCGTCGTCGTCGTCGTCGTCGTCGTCGTCGTCGTCGTCGTCCCCGCTCCGGGTCCTCCTGCTCAGCGTCGTCATCTCGTTCCGTGCGCAAGCAGTGTGGCTCAAGGCGGCGTCGCCAGCGAACGTACAGCAAAGCCAGACTTGCGCGGCGACGCAATGCCCGCCCCCATAGGGGAGAAGTCGCTGAAGTACAGGAAGCAGCGCAAAAGGAGCGTGTCATGCTGGGCGCTCTGTTGCGCGGTGGTCCTGTACATGGTCTTTGGGGGAACAAGAAGGATACCGATGCCGCTGCTCCAAGGACCTCTCCCGGGTGCGTGCTGACCAGGGCTTCAGGGGCGGATCCAGCCGTGGCGACGAAGGCCTCCCAGAAGGCCTGAACAGGCGAGAACGAGGGAATGGGCAGCGGCATCGACAACGTACCAGACATGCGATGTCTTGCTTTTTCAGGGCGGGGCCCAACGGGACCGCGTTTTCATCGCGCCGAGTCGTGTTCTGACGCCCCCCCCCAGGCCTGGCGAGGGCATCCAAAGGCCGAACGCGGCCCAGACTGCTCGCAAATGTGTGGCGGCTCCTCTCAGGTCTGGATCCTCGGATTCACGACCTTGATGCTGGCAGTCTTCGAGCTCGGCGGCGTGACCCCCGTGCTGCGCCTGGTCGTCGACTGGGCCGTCGTGCCGGCCGTGAGCACGGCGGTCGGGCCCGCGGCGAGCTGCGTTGCCGCCCTGGGCAGCGCGGTGTCGTACGTGGTGAGCCGGGCACGAGAGGAATGCAGCAAGAAGAGGCTGTGTCTGCAACCTCTGGCGCGTAATGGTCCCTATCCAGGTGACAGTAGCGATCGTACGAGGAAGGGCGCGTGCCTGGTCACCTCCCCCCCCCCCACGTGCTGGTGCTCGCGCCAAGCGTTACCACCCCCCTCTCCCCGGGTAGCGACCTGCAACTGGAAACAAATTGTTATGAAAAAGAAGGCCTGGCGAAGGACATCATTTACTTCCTTTCTAACATCAAACATAATGTTCCTCCATTTTCCATTTGTATCTACAAGTTTGATCCCTTTTGTTTATTTGCGTGTACTGTGGTACCCTGATGAATTGGTTAGCGAATGTGGAACCCTAACTATGCAGTCATGAGGAGCGCAGTCGTGAGCATCATCCTCAGTGGAGCTCCCTGTGTGGCCGCGAGAAGCGTTGTGGGGAGAGAGTGGCCGAGCGGAGGTCCGGTCTCCCCAGACATGATCGCGTCGAGGAAAAGTCAGGACGGCACATGCTTTGTTATTTTCGGCCCCTGGGGGCCCTCGCCGGGCTCCGGGACCGCCAAAAAAGGATTCAGGATGAGAAACAGGCCCCGGGGAAAGGGTCTGGACTTCGGGGACGTCGTCTTGAAGAAATTAGGACGTCGCATGTCTGGGATCTTTGCACGCGCGAGAGTTCCTTTCTCGGCGGGCGTCCGCCTGGCTGTGGCTTCCCCCTCGTTCCTCCTCGTTCCTGCGAGTCTTCTCGGGTTCCGCTGGTCTGGGTGGCTTGGGCCGCCCATTGAAGCAGCCGTGCCCTCCTGCGAGGCAGGCGGCACACCGCTTCGCGAGACCTCTCAGCATTTCACTTGGCTTGCAGCTTCCTTGCGTCCCGCCCCCCCGTTGCTGCTGCCCCCTCCCTCACTCCCGTTCCTCATTCCTCCTTGCCGCCCGTTCCCTCTCCCTGCTCTTGCTGGTGCTGTCCACGCGCAGCGTTCAGTTTTTCTCACCCGGCTGCCCCGGCAGTATGCGCCACGACGCCTGGGGATGGGGTTGCGTTTAGTTGTGCCCAGAAGAAGACGTGTGAGCGGATTGCTGTAATATGCGGGGGGGGAAGCATTCGAGAACCGCCAGCTTCGTATGCGGCCACGACACATATGAGGGGTATTCCGACACGGGTTCGGGGGACGCATGCGAGAGCCGTCAGTGTGGCCTTCTGTGAAGATCCCTATGAGGCCACGAAGCGTGCGAGGGTTGTGCCTAATTAGCTGCGGGGGACGCATGCCAGAACCACCACGTGGGCCCTCGGTTTAGCTCCGATATGGGGCCGCTAAGCGTGTGAGGGGTGTGCCGACATGCGTGCGGGGGACGCATGCGAGAACCGCCATTGAGGCCTTCGGTGGAGCACCCTGTGGGGCCACGGAACGTGCGAAGGGTGTGCCGTCATGGGTTCGGGTGACGCATGCGAGAGCCGCCATTGGGGCCTTCGGTGGAGCTCCTATACGGCGCCACGGAACCGTGTGAGGGGTGTGCCGGCGTGTGGCTGGTGCGGAGGGCAGAGACAGGGATGGGCGGATGAGGGGGGCAGCGCCAGGGAAGGAATGAAGGAAGGAGACGCGTGGCGCTGTCTCTCCAAAACGAGGACCCAACACCACAGGATGATTGGGGCTGTGTGAATTTTTCGGAAGGGCCCCTCGAGGAAGGAGCTGCAAGGAGCCACCGACCTCGACATGGCCATTTGATTGGTGGCTATGGTCGATGTGGTGTGGCCGTCCTGAAACACCCACATCGGCCACAACCAGTGCTAAGCTGGCTTCTGTGTTCTGACGGTTGTTGGCAGATGCAAGACGAAGGCATCTCCTGGGGTGTGTGTGTGTCCTCAGTGTGGTTGTGGTCGTCTGCTGTCCTTGAAAGGTGAACGCGACCTACTCCCTGGCGAACCACACGGACGACGGCGACTTGCTTCTTCAGGCGCCGCCACGAAGCAGATCCAGACATGTTCGCGCCGTGACAAAACCACGACAGAAGGTTTCTGACAATCTTCGGTCGCATGGGTCCCTCGCCAGGCCCCAGGACCGTCAACAACAATTCGGGGTGAAACGCCCGCTCCCCGGGGGATGTGTCGAGACTTCCCGATATCGCCGTCATGACAAGTCATGAGTCGGGGGTCTGGGGACGGGTCCTGAGGGAAGCGGGTCCTGAGGATGTGTTGTCCGCTTATTTGCCTCGATGCGCCCGTTGTGATACGCCACACGTGCCGTGCTCGAAACGTCTGCGTCAATGCGTGTCGTGCTGGCCCTTTGGTTGGCCCACGTTTAGGCGAACGTATCGCGTCGTGCCTGATTACGCTTTCAGTCGACGTGTTGAGTTTCGTATCACTATCGTCGGGGAGAAACAGAACCCCTTAATCCGAATAGCACGATGAAGACGTGGCCTCACTGAGGTCCCCGTCTTTGCATTCGGGGTAAGACCTCTGGGCTGCTTATTGCGATACACTTTCAGAAACAGACTCCCCATATCCCTAATGATTTTGGCCCTCCCAACTTAGGCCCCATACCAAATGGTTCGGGGTCCTTGTACTGCTAGTCAACTATCGGCGGCACCCCAACATACTAAAACTAAGTGTGCGTCGCCCCCCCCCCAGGGGCAACGCGCGCAACGAGAAATCTGATAGTACTTGCGTTGCGGCGGGCGCTTTCTGGCCACACCGCTCGGGAAACGATATACTACTGCATGGGTCTACTACATGTTCGGGTCGGACGCGCGCCTCCGAGGAGGACATCTAGTCCTAGTATGTCTCTGCGCGTCCTGGAATACGCTGTGTGTTGCGTGTGGCGTATCGGGGCAGCGAACGTCCGCCGCTCTCGGGCGCTGCATTGGCCCAATGCACGTTCCTGGGATTTTCGTCACGTCGCTCGCCAGCGGAAGCCGTTGGACGGCTTGCGGAAGACAGCGGAAGTACATGACGCCCTGCCCGAATCCCTTTACCCCCCGTAGAGGCCTAGCAATGTAGTCTTCTGCCGTGGTCCGGGCGGGATCCCGCCTAACTCACTCCCCTTTAATATTAACTTTAGTTCAGCCAGATGAAAATCCCACCGATTAAAATTAGGGTAAATGAATATCCCAGGTCGTCTCGCGGATCCCGCCATGCTGGGATCGTTTCGAAGTAATATGAGGCTCCGAGGTCGCAGCATTCCTGGCATGTCAGGGTCGTCTTGATATTATCTTGAGATCATATATCGGTCATGCTTGGATCGCGCAGCCGTCGGGTGTTCATTCTGGGGCCACCCTGGACGCGCGTGGATTCATCTTGTTGCCATCGGGACATCTCGGCGTCATTCGTGGCTCATGTGTTCGGTCATCTTCGAGTCGGCCTGGGACGGTCCAGAATCCATGACGGGATCGTGTTGGGGTGGCGTCATTCCAGGGTCGTTTGGATGTTACCACCTGTTGCCTCAGGCCCTCTTGGAACCATTTTGTGGCTATGGGGTCGTCTTGGGATCTTGCGCGCGCGCGCGAGCGCTGAACAATCGCGCGCGACAACTCGTTTTGCCGATGGGTGTACACACGTATACTTCTTATTGCGTGTTTCCAAGGAAATTTCTGCTGCAGCCAAGTATAGGGGCCCTCCCCGGATGAGGAGGACGAGGAAGAGGAGGAGGAGGAGGAGGAGGAGGAGGAGGAGGAGGACGCGGATTTTTCAACTTGTGCGACCTGCTTACTCCATGGGGGGCGGTGAGACCCTCTGGGGACTGAAGAGGAGATCGTTCAATCCGACCCCAAGGTGGCCTGGTGATCTTCCTCTTCAATAGGCTCGTGCCCGTGAAACCCACCACGCACCACGGGACCCGAGGTTCCTCGACACGAGGCACGGTCCCTGACGGCGCGGGGCTGAGAGTGGGACCCCTCCTTCCCCCGACACGGCGACCTGGACGACCCAACACCCCCTCCAACAGTTCAAGGCGCTGAGCTGGCGGCTGCCTGCAAACGCCGCACGGCAGCCGTCTCTCTCGCCACCTGCGCAGGACTCGGGCTCAGCCCACCACTGGCCACACATTTCGTTCCAGGGTCCAGACCAGGCGCCAGGACAGGAACCACAGTGTCGACCACGTGAAGAGACTCGATCCTAGGGTAGCGGCCCGTCAAAATGTTGTTGATCACAGTCTTCCCAAGTCTACTAGGATGCCAGACCGACACAACATTGCGTTTAGCCAACGATCCCCAACCAGCTCTCCCTAAATCGTCAACTGGATGTTTGAAAAAGGACCCATCGACAAAGATGCTCCACGCACGTCTCCACCCTCTCCTTCAGGATAGCCCTCCGGTCTGATCGTTCCCCACCGCGAGAGAGAGGTCTCAGCCAGAACGACTCAGGGTGAGGGAAGATCTCCCGCATGAAGGGGAGGAGGCCATAGGGAGAGAGATCCCCATCCGATTCGGCCAACACAGACTACCACAAGTTCGGCACGCTCGGCAGCACAAGCAGAGCACTGCCACAGACGATGAAACAGGTTGCCCTCGGCCTTGCCGCATAGACCACGCAGACGCTGCTCTGCTGACAGTTGGTAACCAAGACGCACCGCTCTCTCGGCCGTCCAGCAACCATCACAAACCATAGAACGGATAGTGCCCTTCTCGAGCGGAGCTTACTTGGAGGACTAAACTTGGGCCTTCCCCATGTCAAAACACGCCCGGCCCCATCCAACATCTACATTTGAAGCCGCAGAGACCTCCTCCAGGTTCCTGATGACAGCCTCCTGGAGAATCCCGTTGAGGAGCTTAGGGCTGACGAAAGTGAGGAGGAGGAGGAGGAGGTCCACTCCATGAGGGTCCCTGAGAACCGAAAAGCTAGGCATAGTCCACCCAAGACGCTTCACCGACAAGAACAGAGCCCCGACAGGGCCTCTCACAGAGGACCACTTGGACGGTTGCCCGCTGGGGTTCTCAAAAATGCTGGCCCAAGACCTCAACGCAGGAAGAGGAAAAGAAAAGGAAGACGAACGGCACTGCCCAGCCCAACACATTGCTCCAATGAACAGTGGGCGCAACAGCGGCATACCAGCACGGATCATTGCCGCAAATAAGAGTTGACGAGAGGGACCTGCCTCCTGAGTTAGCGCGAAGTCCCAGCTTGACCCCTGATGAAATCCAACTCCCGGTTGCTGATCCCGTGCACCTCGACCCCATAAGTGTAACCAGGCAACGGACCGCTAGCAAAATGGCACCGATTGGCACAGCCGAGAAAAAGATGTTGGCGTGCAAGCCGCTTGACACGTGCGCGGAAATGAGCGGCTCGCTTCATACGTCTGACAGCTCTGCCCCTAAGCCTCAAGGGTCTTCCAGACGTATCATCGATCCCAAGGTTCGCCGCCGATTCCTCGAGACCCTTTCTTGACGCTCCCTTCAACCAGTCCTCGACACATATACCCACCTTCGAACAGCTGGCAATCAAACCCGCCTTCGCGGGGGCAATCGCAAGACCTAAATCGACAGCGATGGCGCGATAGACAGCGCTGGCGCCAGAAGTGAGGCCAGCGACCACCTTACTGACACTACCTCGAGCAGAGAGCCCAATGTCATCGATGTACAAATCCAAGCTAACATGAGGGGCAAGGGCAATGCTACAGAACTCCTTCATGTAGAACGCGCGCACAAGGGTGGCGGCCATACTACCTACATCCAGCGATCACACCCCTGAGAGCCCCACCACACGGCCCGTCCAGGAAGCCCGCGACATTGAGATATCGACCCAAGCGATGCGTGCCGACGCACAACCTAGCGACCACCTTGGAGAAGCCGAGGGAGGCACGCTTACTGAGAAGCGATTCGAGATCATGTACACCCATAAGATGTTCGCGGAGACTTGCCCGTCGCCGTGCGCGTGCTCGCTGGCAAGGGCCTGGCGCCAGACCACGTCTGACGCACTCGTGAACCATGGCCTGAGAAGAAGGAGTGGAGGTTCTGCTCCTCCCTTTCCAAGGCGACTCGACGGCGGACCACCCGCCCAAATACGGCACGCGACACCACAGGCCCCGATGGATCTAAGCCTGCCAGCGGCCCTAGGGATCATCGCCAACATCACGAGGCGAATCCGACGAGGCAACGAGGAACTGATTTCGCAGACCGACAGCTGGGTATCAAAGGTTTCGAGGGCCCCATCCGACAGAACAGCGAAATTCTTCGTGTGGGACCCGTCCACCGACACCGAGGACCGAAGACTGTAGGACCTACTCGCAGCCCTAAGACGGTCCACAGAAATCGAGGGAAGGGGCTACCCATCGAAATCATCCGACGGGTCGGCCAAGCAAAGGGCACGACACCTCTCTCCTTCCTCCTTGAGGAGAGCAAGGGAGTCAGCAATAATCTGTTCAGCAGCAGAGAGAGTGTTCGAGGGCAGCCAGGCCTCGACAGGCCTGGACCAAGCATGGGCATGCCTCCCACCCTTGACCAGGTCCTGGTGGAGCCAAGCCCGCCATGACTTCTTTCCATGTTGTCGAGCACTGTCAGTCCCCTGGTCAACGGCCAGCATGACTCGACTCGAGCAAGCAATGCTCCAACCACTTCGCGAGGCCCACTGCTGCGAACACAGTCCTGCACGGCAGCGAAAAGATTAGAGGGGCAGCTTCCTTACCGCTGATTAACCAAAAACGTACTGGGCTCGAGCATGGCAGCCTCCAACCCGTCGACCACCTTCTGACGCCCAGGCTGCAAGTCGCCAAAGGCCTCGCACCCTCCCACCACAACAGCCCCCCCCACAGCGGCCACTGGACTAATGCCCAGAATAGGAAGGTGCGAGCCATCCAGAGCACAGCATAGAGCAGAGGGTGCCTCTGAGGACGGCTATCTTGTTGGGGAATATTGACCCACCACGTTTTGGGGTTCTCCCCCGGCGCCCATGCATAGGGAGCTCCACTTGAAGCGTGCGAGCCAACTCATACTCAGCGAAGTTAGCCCATTCCCTGCGCAACTGGGCCAACGCAAGATGGGCAGAGGCGCAAACCGCCATCGCAATCGCTCTCGCCCTGCCCGCCAACGCAGACACCTCAGACCAGTCAGGGGCCTCAGGCCACGGACCGATGGGCACGGCGGGCGGGGGAGGGGGGGAGGTGCGAAACGAGAGGGCCTCGGGGTCAAACAACCTGGGGAAACAAGGAGAGACAGACAGAGGAATGCGGGGAGGTGGGGGCTAAGTAGTCGATTTGGACTTCCTTGACTCATCTGGAGAGGCAGCTAGAGACAAGGAAGTAATCAGACTTGTGAAGGCCTTCCTTCGCGCTCGAGGTGCAAGTAGCCAGACCTGCGTCCACAACTTGGGCGGCCAGCTTCTCAACGAACTGGCAGCCGCTGAGAGTGCCAGGCGACGCACTGACATCTCCTCTTACGATGCACGAATGGAGGCTGCTCGACGCGACCAACCCGACTCTTGTAGAGAGGGAACATGTAATGACCTGGCAACTTTTGACAATCGTGGAGGTAACAATTGAAGACACGGAAGGGCTCCTGCTTCGGCAGGTTCACGCTAGCCACGATCGCTCTGTGGGGCACCACCTGAGGTCCCGACGAGGGCAGAGCAAGACCTAAGAAGCTCCAGCACAGCACCGCCACCCCACACGAGGCACCTGAGACAGCCGTAGGTCGAGCGGGCTCGAGCAGACCTGTCCAACCACGCCTGAGGAGCCATCCCTGGGCTTCGGCGATCGGATCGGCCACCAGGCGAGTTTCCTGAAGCAGAACGATGTGGACAGTGCAAACGAGCAGCCCGTCCTGGGCGGAACTCCAAGACGTGCAACAGCACGCGCACACCTGTAATTCGAGCTGCTCCCTACAGGGCGACACAGACGAATCAGAGCCAATATTGTCAACACAAAACTGGGCAGCACTCTCCCCGACGCAGACCAGCTGAGGTGGACGGAAGAAGCCGACAGGCCAATCGATGAATTAAATTTGGGGACTCCCCAAGGGACATTGCATCGATCTTGGCCGAAGAGGTGAAACATGTATACTCCAAAATCGTGGCGACACTGATAGAGCATGCGAGAATGGACTGCATCGAGAGACAGGCTGGCGGGGATCTCAGTCACTGCCCCCTGCTCCCAATGTACTCAGACCGCGGAAGCAGGGGGGGGGGCCTGGCTACCACCTGCCAGGGCCTTCTCTGCAAGAGCTCGCACATCGTCATCAATATCTCCAGGAACTGGAACGTTGGCTGCGGCGCCGATTGGAGCACCTGGTGCAGGAGCAAAGGTACCTCCCGTAGAAGGATCAGCACCGCCCTTGCCGTCTCCGCCTGTGTCGAGCAAGTCACCTGACGGTCCCGTCCTTCTCTTTGCCACAAGCCGACGAACATGGTACGTGTGGGCAGCCTTGAGCTCGTTGGCCTTCTCAACTGCCCCAGAGAACAGCGTAGACGCAAGTTCACGCAACCGATTGTTGAGCTCCTCCTTTCTCTCCTGCAACTTTTGCTTGTCATCAGGAGAGAGCTCGTACTCTGACCCAGTTGGAACACACGCTCGGTGTTGATGAAAGAATTGGCCTCGACCCCGAGGCTTCAATAACTTCTCCTGCCAGCTTCTTAACCACCCCCTTGTACTCTGCATCCGCGGCGTCCAACTCCTTCTTGGCGGCCTCGACTGTACTCCGCTGGTTGGCGTAGGCCTTCGCGGCCCTGTCCAGCCTCTTGACTTCCTGTCCCAATTCTTCGCTCAAGCTCAGCACCTTGCCGTGGGCCTTACTGGCCCTTTGCTGGGGGGGTGGATGACCGCTACAGGCTTGGGGGCGACCACCTGCAGGGCCTTCTCCCACTTCGCAAGCCCGACCGAGTCGCCGCTCTTTTTGGCCGGAGTGACCATCCGCTTCGGACAGCCCTCGCAAACCTTCTGAGGCGCCTCCACCGGCTCCAGCAGCTGCGGGGCCGCCAGGAAGAGCACGAAGACGCCCAGGACGAAAGGGAAGCTCGGGCCATTCCTCCGCCGACAGGTCAGACTGATAGAAGTGGTGGGCACCGCAATGCTTGCAGTGCTGGAATCCGACGAGATTCTTCTTGCACCCGCATTGCCTGCACCGCCACCGCCGCGAGCCGCTCTCTCCTGCCGACGGTTCAGCCTCTTTCGTGCGCCAAAGCCATACGCCAGCGGCTCGGCGCGGGGGCGGTCGCACTGCGGCAGTCCTCTGCCACTGTGGGTCAGCGTCCGCCGCCCACGGCGCCTTGCGGCCGGTAGCGCCAGCCCACCAATCCGCTGAGGCATCGCGGCGACACCAGGGAGCATCTGGGGCCATGACGGGGCAGACAGACTGAGGGAAAGAACGAATCACAAGCCAAAAAGGCCCGTCCTGAACGAATGTGCACAATGCCCGACCCGCGGGCACAGGACAGCTTGGAGGAGGAGAAGGAGGAGGAGGAGGAGGAGGAGGAGGAGGACGACGACGAGGAGGAGGAGGAGGAGGAGGAGGGGGAGGAGAGGGAGAAGAAGGAGGAGGAGGAGGAGGAGGAGGAGGAAGAGGAGGCAGAGGAGGAGGAGGAGAAGGAGGAAGAGGAGGCAGGGAGGAGGGGGGGAGGAGGAGAGGAGGGAGCAGGAGGAGGAGGGAGGAGGAGGAGGAGGAGGAGGAGGAGGAGAGGAGGGGGAGGAGGAGGAGGAGGAGGAGGGAGGAGGAGGAGGAGGAGGAGGAGGAGGAGGAGAGAGGAGGAGGAGAGAGGAGGAGGAGGAGGAGGAGGAGGAGGAGGTTACGTGCTGCTTGTGGCGTATCGGAGCAGCTCAGGTCCGCCGCTCTCTGGCTGAATGTGTGAGCCCTCCCCGGGCCCCCCAGGGAGGACCGCCCTAGCACCTGCAGCCCAGGGGGCGAAGGCCTGGACCTTCCTAAGGGGGGCGGGCCCCCTGTGGGGACCGGGGCCCGCTGCCACCGAGGGCCTCAAAGTTGCCCCCCCCACATTAGATGCTCGATTGAGGGACCTTCTTGGGGCCCACCTGGGGCCCACCTCGCGGACATGTAGTACTAGTATGTCTATGTGAGTCCCATGAAGAGGAAGAGGCGGAGGAAGAGGAGGAGGAGGAGGAGGAGGAGGAGGAGGAGGAGCAGGAGGAGGAGGGGGCGGCAGAGGAGGAGGAGGAGTATGAGGAGGAGGAGAAGGCACAAGAGGAGGAGGAGGAGAGGAGGAGGAGGAGGAGGAGGAGGAGGGGGAGGCGGAGGAGGAAGGGGAGGAGGAGGAGCAGGAGGAGGAGGAGGAGGAGGAGGAGGAGGAGGAAGGGGAGGAGGAGGAGCAGGAGGAGGAGGAGGAGGAGGAGGAGGAGGTTGCGTGTTGCGTGTGGCGCATCGGGGCAGCTCAGGCCCACCTTTCTCGGCCTCTGTAAAAGGGCCCTCCCTGGGCTCCCCAGGGAGGGCCGCCCACTCACGGGCCTCCTGTGGGGGCGAATGCCCCCTTCCCTTTGCTGTGGGGTGGGGGGGGGGCGGGCCCCATGGGGACAGGGACCCGCTGCCACCCAGGGCCTCAAACTTGGGTCAAGTCGGACGTGTCCCTCTACATGAGGAGTCTTCAAAAAGAGTCGAATCATACTGGAACGGATGTTTCATTATCTTTGGATTTTGTTGTTTGATTTGTTTTGACTATTTTTCATTTTCCGTCCAAGGTCCGCCTGTAGGATGACATGCCTGACCTGCTGGCAACGGGGGGGGACCTAAATGCGGGGTGAAGAAAAGGGCCCTAAAGAACCCCTTTAGGGCCCCTTTTGGAGCCAGCTGGTGCCCGAAAGGGGCCCCAAAGGGCCTCTTTTAGGGCCCTCTTATTTCCCCCCCATTTAGGTCGCACCACATTCAGAAGTGAAAACAAAGTACACACAGACAAGCAATCGTCGATTTCCATGAAACGTTTGGGAAGTTATGGAAGTGGGGAGGGGGGAAAGACGAAGATGCAGAAAGTGTGGAAAAGTCTGGTGGCTCCTGGGAGTTGTGTGTGATTATCTGTGTGTCCCTGCGCCTCAGTGCACACGTGCGTTTGCAAACGCGTCGCGTGCCGTCTTCGAGACGTCCGTAATGCGTGTTGGCTCAACGAGTGCTGTTCTTCACGCCGTGAGTGTCCCCCGCCCTGTGCGACCGCCTCCCCCCCCCCTTTCGGGGGCGGCAGAGAGGGGAGTGATGACTAGGGGGTGTGGGGGGGGGATATCATGGCGAGGGCCATGATATTTCCCCAGATTTCGTGGCGCCTCTTCTTGGTCCAATACTTGGCCGCCCCCGACCCTTTCCCCCTCTTGCAGCCGGACACTCCGTGCCGCGTCGTTGCCCGACCCCCCACAGAACGCGCGCGTGCGGATCGCCCCTCTGCCGCGCCTGGGCGGAGGAAAGTGTTGGCTCGCACCATCTTGGCCCTCGTCTTGGCGAACGCTCCGCGCCGAACGTGCGTTTTCAAGCTCCGCGTGGAGCTCCATGTCGGCGCGGTACGTGTTGCCACGACTGTTTCACAACGTCGACCCCCAGAGGCCTCTCGACCCATTCCCCAGCACCGGCTTTTCGTCCGGGGTCGTTTTTGATGGCCCCGAGGCCCAGCAAGGACCCCGGGCGGCCGAAATCGGCGAAAACTTTTCGTTGTGAGCTTTTCACGTCTGGGCCTCCTCCGTGCCACAGGCGGTGGGAGACGTGCTGGTCAGCTCCGGCGGGCTCGACGCGGCGCAGGTCGGGTGGGGCCGGGGCAAGGACAAGCCTGTCCCAGAGCGTCGTGGAGGAACGCTCTCGCAGCGTTCCTCCAGGATGCTCTGAGCAGGCCGCGGCGCCCGAGGCGCACTCCAGAGCCGCCGGATCTCAGAGATTTCGAATGTATTCGGCCACGCGCAGAGGGGGTTAGGGGGGGGCGGGAAGGCTTCTTAGAAGCACCCCTGCTTCTTAGAAGGTGCCTCTTTCTAAGAAGCCTTCCCCCCTCCCCCTACCCCCCTGTGCGCGCCGCCAAATGATCCTCGTCGAACAATGGCATAACCTGAAAACTCAGAGGTCCGCGCGGATTTCTCGGATCGGCGCTGGGGCCCCCAGGCGGCGCCTCCGGCGCCGCCCCTGGCGGGGAGGGTCCAGCGCCGCTCCGAGAAATCCGCGCGGACCTCCGAGTTTTCATGTTTATGGCCTTCGTCCGCTCGCCTGAGAGCAGCCTCGCCCGAGCGTGTCCTCGTCCTGGCCCCTGCGCCTCCGCAGGGGGTGTCCGCTCTGCAGCGCGCGCTGGGCGAGGGCGCGACGGGCCCCGCGGGGCCGGCGCCCGCCGTGGAGGCGTTGGCCGTGGCGGGCGGCAGGCTGTGGCCGCCCTTCCGCCCCGCGGTGAAGAGGTCGCCGCGGGCAGCAGCGGGAAACGGAGCGTCGGCCCGCTGCGCGCGCGCCGACGACGACGACGGCGACGGCGAGGAGGAGGAGGAGGAGGAGGAATGAGACGAGGAGGACCAGGAGGAAGAGGAGGAGGAGGAGGAGGAGGAGGAGGAGGAGCATGCATCTGCTTCAGGCCACTCCTCATGCTTCACCTCCGCACCTCTCTTGGCCCTCTGCTTCTTGCCGCGCTGACACGCAGAGGCAGTAATTTTTCCTGACAGAGGGTAGCAGTCCAAGAATTGCACACATTGCTGGCATCTGCTTACTTTGATTACTAATCACCGCGGCACACTTTTAACCAAGGACCTCAGCCCAAGCATGGGATGGGCGGTGGGGGGAGCCTGGGGATCAGCCGGTGAGGATGACGGGGTGGTGGACTACAGCACCGATCAATTTCGGAAATTTCTATCTTTGTTCCCAACAGCGTAGCCTGCATAGCAGCACTTTTTCCTTGACTTCAAGGGGAGCAGACTGTTAACATTTCCAGGCTGCTGACACATTGGGTTCGTACTGAACCCGAGAAGACTTTACAACAAACACGAGGGCGTTGGGACCAAAGCGATTTGAGGTAAACCCTAAATACCCTGGGCCACAACCAAAAAGCTGCCACACTTTGCCTACGGCACTTACCTTTCAATTCCAGCTCACTCTTGCGCGTATGGTAGGCATGACTAGCACCTGCATCTTACTCCTTCCTTCGGTCACCTCCCTTTCACACGTATCTATGATCCTCCTATCTTCCCTCCCACGAGGGTGGCAGCTCAAGAATTGCAAGCCGACTGGCCAGCCGTTACATCATGCGCCAGCCTGACGTAGAGCAGCCATCTCATTTTGATTGCTCACAGGGGTAGCAGCCCAAGGATTGCAAGAGCAGCGTCGCACTTCTACCTTGGAGGATCCAGGGTTGCACTCCTACTGGCCAGCCGCTACACTACGGGCCAGCTTGACGTAGAACGGCCCCATTTTCTTTGCTCACAGGGTCGCAACCCAAGGATTGCACAAGCTGCGTCACATTTTGTTTACTTAGTTCGAGCAGCATTGCATCTCCAGTCCTGTACTCGGGAAAGGATGGGGAGGGATCCAGTGAGGGGGGGAGGATGACCTTTTCACGCCAGCTCACCACCGAGCGTACTTGCAGGCTTGACCAGCACCAGCATCTTATCTCTTCGCTCGGCTCATATGTTCCTCCTCTTGCCCCCTCCCCCTCCAGAGTAGCAGCCCAAGGATTGCAACTACTGGCCAGCCGTTGTACCACGTGCCCGCCTAACGTAGAGCAGCCACCTGCTCTTGCTCACAAATGTAGCAGCCAAGGGTTTGCAAGCTGCATCGCATTCTTCATATAACGGACAACATAGAACCACTAGTACGATCAACACTGTACTACCGCATCTGGGGCACAGGGGTAGCAGCTCAAGGATTGCAACGCTGGCGTGTCAAGATTGTGCTGGGGTGGGCTGGGGCGGATTTCATAAAAGGATGCGGGGGCCACCTGTGCCCACACAAGGTAGCAACCCAAGGATTGCTGACGCTGCCATGCTGCCTTTCTTTCTGCACAACTCAAAGGCAGCACGTACCATTGTACTGGGGTTTACCTTCTTAGGTTAGTGGGGGGCAGTCTTACTAAGGTTTGTGTTGCCGCCTGGTACCTGGCGGGCGCCTACTCTTCTTCTCTTCTCCTCACCGCCTGATGTTACCTCATTCTCCGCCGGTGCCCGCCAGGCACTTGTGCCCAGCTCAAATCCGAACAGCGCAAACAAAGACAGAGGAGGATGAGTAGGAGCAGGGGCAGGAGCAGGAGTAGGAGGAGGGGGTGATAAGGAGGCAGGAGGGGGGTGAGGAAGAGGAGGAGGAGGAGAAGGAGGAGGAGGAGGAGGAAGAGGAGGAGGAGGAGGAGGAGGAGGAGGAGGAAAAGGAGGAGGAGGAGCAGGAGGGGAGCAGGAGGGAGAACAAGAGGAGGAGGTGGAGGAAGGAGGCGGAGGAGGAGGAGGAGGAGGAGGAGCAGGAGCAGGAGGAGCAGCAGGAAGAGGAGGAGGAGAGGGGGGAGGAGGAGGAGGAGGGGAGGAGGAGGAGGAGGAGGAGGAGGAGGCAGGAGCAGGAGAGGGGAGGAGGAGGAAGAGGGGGAGGAGGAGGAAGGAAGAGGAGGAGGAGGAGGAGGAGGAGGGAGGAGGGAGGAGGAGGAGGAGGAGGAGGAGGAGGAGGAGAGGGGAGGAGGAGGAGGAGGAGTAGGAGGAGGAGGAGGTGGGGGACCAGTGCAAACCCAAGACTCATCAACGATGTTGGGATAAATCCCCCCTCCACGCTTCCCCTTCATAGGCCCCTGCAATGATCAGTTCCCACTGAAGGAACTGGCTCGTTGGGAGACCACCGTTGAAGACCCTGAGCGGTGCCAAACCTCCATGCTCGGGACCCCATCTCCACGAATCAACCTGACGGTTGCGTCTTGACAAGCCAGAATCTTGGAAACACGCCATTCCTGGGATGTCAGCACCGCGAATCAACGTAACTATTTCGCCCTGACAGTCCTGAATCGTTCCAAAACGCAATTCCTGGTACGCTGACCTTGGGAATCGGTGAAACTCATGCGCGGCGCGTAGGCGATAGCGACATTTACAGAAGGAGCCGCTTTCAACCCGCGAAACTCATGAAAATGTTGAAGACGAATGTGCGTGGCGCCAGGGAGAGAGCCACATTTTGACAACGGCCCGCCCTCGATCCGTCGAAACTCCGCGACACTCCGCGGTAAAGAGGTTCTAGGCCTCCCAGGTGGGGTCGGAGCAGATGGGGTCGGACGATAGCGCCGCAGCGCCGATGCACCGGCGATGCGGCTTGATGTGGATCCCCTTTTGATTCGCGTCGACGTCGCCGACGCATCGCCGACGTCGACGGTGCATTGCCGACGCATCGCCGATGCGGCGCAATCCTCCGACCCCATCCACTCGGACCCCGGAGGCGCACTCAGAGGAGAAGAAGATGCCGACGCCCCTGCCCCAGCCTCGTTGTCTTTCGGGCCTCCTGGGAGACCCTCGTCGCCACGGCTGGATTCACGTCGAGATCCTGGTCAGAACGCACCCCGGCAGAGGTCCGGGGAGCAGCGGCATCGATACCTCTTGGTTTCTTCAGGTACCAGGTGCACCTCGACGACCGGCTCGCGGATAGATGCGGCGCAGAGGGCTGCTCAGGAGTCGAGTTGGCTATACGTAAGAGTGACCCCCCACCTGAGTGACCTCTGGTGCCGGCACACGGGGGGGCCCCAGATTGCTGAGTGCGATGGGATAGCAGCGGCCTCCCCGCGGCCCCCAGAAGTCGCGCACCAAAAGCAACTCTTGCTAGAGTCACTCCTACGTGTAGCCGATCGAGGAGAGAAAGCGACGCAAGCATTCACTGTCGGAGCTCCGCGCGGATGGCTCGGATCAGCGTTAAGTCGGGCCTGTCCCTCTCTACAGGAGGAAAATCCGAAGGTAGCCAAAAAATAATCAGGGAACGATGTTTCTAGCATGTTTTGCCATTCTGAATGCTCCGAGTTTCTTGATAAGCGTGGGTGGGGCGCCACCCCCGTCGACGGTCCCGCATCGACCCCAGTCGCGGGCAGCCACCGCGCGCCGAAAGCGCTCCGACCCCCGTCGCGGCGCGACGACGAGGCGAGGTTGACCCCCATCGGGGGGGTACCCCCCCACGCTTATTAAGAAACGCGGAGTACGTTTTGACCTTCCTCCTTGTCCTCCAGAGTCTGCCTGTGGGAGGACATGCCCGACCTGAGATCAGCGCCTGGGCGCCCCCCCCCCCTGGCGGCGCCTCCGGCGCCTCCGCGCGCGGGCGCCCTACATTCCCAGGCGAGCGCGGGGCGCGCCCAGGGGAAGGGGGCCCCAGCTCGGGATCCCGCAGATTGGGGGGCTGCCCCTGGGGGGGGGGGTCAGAGGAGGAAGAGGTAGTTACCTATACCTCTACCCTCCCCTCGTTTTCCCCTTTTTGGGCCTCCTGGGCGGCCCTCGTCGCCACCGCCGGATTCGCTTCGAAATCCTGGGCAGAACGCACCCCAGGAGAGGTCTGGGGAGTAGCGGTATCGGCACCTTTTGATTTCCCCAGGTGTGAGTTCGATCGTTTTGACACGTGATCGTTTTTTATTCATTGTTTTGCCGATCGACGCGGACCTTTGCCCCCCCCCGTCTTCCCCCCCCATGAAGTAGATCTTGGCTGATTTTTGGCGCCAGTTCCGACCAGGTGGAGCCTCCCCCCATTGGACGCACTGTCGCAAACAGTAGCACTAAGCAGAGGTCCGGAGCCAGATCCCCCCCTTCTTCCGCCCAACGTCGAAACGCCGAATAAAAAAAACCCACCACCGAACCGCCCAAAACAGATGCCCCCCAGCCGCCGGCAGCTCCCGATAGTTGCCGATGGGTGGGGCATGCGGGGGGCATCTGTTTGCGGCAGTTCGGTGCACCAGCGGATCGAAGTCATGCCCCCCTCAGTCACCTCCCCCTTTGGTGGATCCCGACCAGTGCGACTCCAAGAGATCCGCGCGGACTTCCAGAAATGTGCAGTCGCACAGCCTGCCAAAAGGATCCAAATTTTCGGCAGGGTGCCCTGGGTTTCTTTGGCCTGCGTTCGGCGTTGAGGGTGGTAAAGATGTCGAAGAAGCTGCAGATCACAGGACGCCCTGGGTTTCTTTGGGCGTCTGTACGTTGGGCTTCTTGATGTCAGGTTCCTCTACACAGGCGGTCAAGAAACCGATCGGGTCAGGGTACCCTGGGTGTCTGCGTTTGCAGCCGAAGCGCAAGAATCCAAGCCCTGGACCAGAAAACCTCTGCGGAATTCACGCCTAGGTTTCTTGCGGTGGGTTCTATCTGACCAACATCCACTGTTTGTAGCACTCCGCAGTGGCGGAGAAGACTGAGGGGGCGGGCGCGGGGTGGGTCGCGGGTGGGTCCCAGGGTTGGTCGCGGGGGGGTCGCGGGCGAGGACGACGCCAACAGACAACAACAACGCACAACAAGAATCTGGGCCACGGAATCCCACGCTGATGCCCGTGCCGTCCTGCGCAGCCGCAGGGGGCGCCCCCGACATCGAGGTGGAGATGGTCCTGCGGCGCGCGGGCACCGTCCGCGTCGACCGGGACGTGGTCCAGAACGCGAGCGGCACCCTGCGCAGGCGGGTGCCCCTGGAGCTGCTGGGTCTGTCTTCCACCACCACCACCATAAGTTAGAGGGGGAAGAAGGTGGAGGAGGAGGAGGAGGAAGAGGAGGAGGAGGAGGATCCCCCTCCCCCTCCTGCTTATGGTGGTGGCGGCGGAGAACGAGCCGACCAGGAGCAGCTCTTCCGCGACGGCGAGCGGCCCCAGCGCCACCAGGCTGTCGTCGTCCAGGTCCTCGATTCGAGGATCAAGTAATGTTAAGTCGGGCATGCCCCTCTACAGGAGGAATGTTCAAAAATACTACGGGGACGATTCTTTGATTATTTGTTAATGCTTTTAGGTAAAAGCAGTGGCATAAGCATAAACTTTCGGAGCTCCGCGTGGATTTCTTTTGGATCGGGGCCGGACTGCCTCCTCGGCGCGCACAGCGGACCGGGGGCGGTGGCGGCGCTGCCGCTGGAGGGCTCCATCGCGGATCCGAGAAAGCCGTGCGGACCTCCCAACGTGTATGTTCATGTCAGGTCCCCGGCAGATGTTCCCGAAAATGTTGAGGGCGCTTTTTCTTGATCCTTTTGGGAGATCGGCGCTTTTAAGTACGTTTTGGGCGCCGTTTCCGTGACGTTTTCAGGTTCGGGATCGGCCCGTGGCCTGCCTGGCCGTTCTCTGTACGTCCCTGCGTTTCAGGTGCGCTTTCGGATGTCACAGGGCCGCCTGCCTGACGCCCATGTGTTCTTGGGTGCCGCGCGCGCCCCTGGGATGCCGGAAGAAGAACATCCCACCGCTCCTCAGAACAGCTACGGTCAATTACGCGTAAGAGTGATCCTTCGCCGGAGTGACTTTGTGTGCGGGCCCACAGGGGGTCCCCCAATCGCCGAACGCGCCGCAGTAGCAGCGTCTTGCGCGCTTGTGTTCGGCCCCCCCCCGCGGCACGTAAAAAGCCGCCCACCAAGGGTCACTCTTACAAAGGGTGACTCTTGCGTGTAGTCGATGCGGTCCAGGTGACCGAGACAGATGCGGGCAAGCCGCACTCGGACTTCTACGTCCTGAAGGTCGTCCGCCCCCCGGCGAGGAGGCAGAAGAGAGGTGCGCGCGCCCGGCGGGTGGTGGGGCGGAGGCTGGCGGACCGCGCAGACCTCGGCGACACGGTGCTCCTGGACGCCGAGGGCCTGGTCGCGTCCGAGGACCTCCAGGCCCAGAGGAGGAAAAGGCATCGATACCTATACGACCACCCTTCGGGTGATAGGGAAGTTGTGGGGTGGGGGGGAACGAACCAACTGCTGGCAAGTGCGATGAGTGTAATGATGACGGTGCGGGTGACGCGCCCTCGAGTCATCGACACGTGATGACGCTGTTGCGCTGCGATGTGACGCCACACATGGAAGTTATTATTAGTCCCCCGCCCTCCCCCCCACCAGCAGCAGGATCAAACTTCCCGCACCCTGGAAGCGTTGCCTCGGCAGCCTTCTGGGAGGGATGGGGAGGACCAATACTACGACCACTACCACTAGTACTTTTCTGGTAGTACCATTATTATTATTACTACTGGTACTACTACGGCTACGACTATTACTACGACTACTACTACTACTACTACTACTACTACTACTACTATTATGACTACTGCTACGCCCAGTGTTATTACTACAAATTCTTTTTCTTCTACTACTACTACTACGACTCTTGCTACTATACTACGACTACTACTACTACCACCACTGCCACTACTACTACTACTACTACTACTACGACGACGGCTACGACTACTACTACTACTACTACTACTACTACTACTGCTACTACTACTATTGCTACTGCGGCTACTGCTACTACTGCTACTACTACT